CCCCCTGCGTACGCGTCAGGGTGATAGAATAGAAACTAAGTAATATAAATGATAAAAGGCTTTCATGGTGAAATCACGAAGATTAGCTAAAAATTGGTACAAAACAAGAAAATTTTAGCAATGATTTTGAGTCATTAAACAGCATAGCAAAAACATACAACATTGGAGGCAAAAGTAAAAAAATCTGGTTATGAATCTTTCTCAAAGAAATTTATATTTACCCCATTTAACAAGTGGATACATGATTAAATCAGCAAGACATTTCGGGAAATGCTGCAGTCCTCGGCTGCATTTTTATGGGCCACCCTGTACAATAATTTCACCAACATATCATGTCAATCAAGATTATCCTGATCTAGTATGATCTCATGAAATATGCTAATCCCAATATAAAAAGTAAACAAAATCGTCTTGTTTGGAGACCGAAGATAATTTTTCAGGCGTTCCATGACTTTTGACCACAACTGTAAGCACGGGTGTCGATCCCGGGGGGGGGGGGGGGGGGTGGGGGGGGGGATATATCCCCCAATATTTCAGGTGGGGGGATGGCCTGTACAATCATTCCCCCCCCCCCCAATAATTCACCATAAAAAATATTTTAAAAAGAAGAGAAAAATTAATGATGAGAGCCCGATGAGAGTAGTTAATGGTTATTACTCGCAAGATGACCATCAATATACACATTTTGCTATCTCACTTTCATAATACATACGTAAATGAGACGACCGTAGGCTACATGAGACAAAAATAAATTGAATTCTCTCTCATACGGCTTCATCAGGAATTGATGAATTCATTCAATTTATTCAATCAACAGCATCATAGAAATGCAGTGCGCCAAATGCAAAGCCGCCGCGTTAAAAAGCAACGAGCTAAATGTTAAGCGCGAAGCGCAAAAGTGCAGAAAAGAAGTAAAGAGTGGGAGAAAGAGATAATGAGAGACAGAAATGATACAGGCACGTAGCAAGGGGGCGGTGGGGGCGGTCGCCCCCCCCCCCCAAAAAAAAAAAAAAAAAAAACGCCGGCCAAAAAAAAAAAGAGAGAGAATGAGAAAGAAGAACGGACGTAGGAAGAAAAAGGATTAAGAGTCGAGAACGGTAAAACGAATCGTCTCCTTTCTCTAATAATGTAATAAAACGTCAAAGCTTCCGCGCTTCGCGCGGGAGGGGGCCGGCCGGCCGGCCGGGGGGGGGGGGGAACTGAATTCAGACAAGGATTAAAGATGAAGTTGAGTTCTGGTCATGCGATTGCATTGTGAAAGAAACGGTGTGGAATCGACCAGAAAAGGTTGATCATCAAGCATATAAGAATTTGTGTGTATTGCAAGGTTCTGGAATCATCAAAATGATAAGAAATTCGGCCAAGTCTTGGTAAAGTTACAAACACTGTACACAGAAAGATGTATATGGGACTACACGAACACGTGGCGTAAAAATCCTACCCCCGAGTTTTACGATGTTACACATGACATATTTAGAATATGAAGGCATTTGAAGAGCCATGCTTTTCAGGGAACATGTCTTATCTGATGTTCTTCCACACTTGCATAATAAGAATGATAACGCTCACAAACTATTTTTCACCTCTTCCCAGAACTTAACCTTCTCTTTAAGAGTCGAGAATGATACAACGAATCGTCTTTCTCTAATAATGTAATGAAACGTCAAAGCTTCCGAGCTTCGCGCCGGAGGGGGAGGGGCCGAATTCAGACAAGGATTAAGAATCGAGAATATAGTACAACGAATCGTTTTCTTTCTTTAATAATTTAATGAAACGTCAGAGCTTCCGCGCTACGCGCGGAGGAAGGGGAACTTGATTCAAACAAGGATTAAGAGTCGAGAACGGTACAACGAATCGTCTTCTTTCTCTAATAATTTAATGAAACGTCAAAAGAAACTGATATCTTTAGACGAGGATTAAGAGTCGAGAACGGTACAACGAATCGTCTTCTTTCTCTAATAATCTAATGAAACATCAAAGCTTTCGCGCTTCGCGCGGGACGGGGGAAACCCCCTCCCTGCACCACCACCCCCCCCCCCCTAGGTAGCGCGCTTCGTACGCTTCGCGTGCTCACTACTGCCCCCTAAGATAACATCCTTGAGAGGATAATAACCCAGGTAGCAAGCCCATGTGGGACCCATGCACATGGGTCCCATATTCTCTGAAATGTTATCTTTATTGAGGGTGACTTGAACAAGTTAATAACTTGGAAGGGAGGGGGTGCAACCTGCCACACGCTTCTACCTCTTGGTTGCTTTGATCCATTGCCGAAAATATTTTGGCACCTATCACCCCCCCCCCCCCCCAACCACGGATACAAATAGACACCGTTGACTGTAAGGCATTTCCATCAGTCATAATAATTAACCCTTAAAAATGCATACTGGTAAGAACTTTGATGGCAATCAAATAAATAAAGTAAACAAGTAAACAGCAACAATTCAAACAGAACACCAATACATGAACACAACTCAACTTAATACAATGTAGAAAAGATATTTAGGCAGGAAGTTGGAACAGCTAATTTTCATCTTTTAAAACAGCAGAACTCAACAAATTCAAATTATGCCCCTCTTCTTATCCAATATACACAACAAATATGTATTGCATATCCTCAGCTCAAGAGCATCACGTTTCATAAAAAATTGCTCAAAAACTGAAAGTAGCTCGCTCAACAAGGTTCTTATATCAAAATGGCATATTTTGGAGCAAAATTGAAATAACCATGACAACGCTTTATCTAGCATACACAAACAATATGTCTTAATAGCACATCCTTACTTCAAAAGCATCAATACCAATTTTCATAAAACATAACTCAAAAATTGTGGAAGTAGTTCACTCCACAAGGTTTTGATATCATAATGGCATTTTTTTGGAGCAAAATAGTGGTTACCACGCAGGCACGTAGCCACGGGGGGGGGGGGGGGGGGGGGCACACGTGCCCCCCCCCTAAATTTTCAGGATCGGTTGCATTTTTTTAGACCCCTTTTTTTTTACCTCGATCGATTACATGTATGTGCCCCCCCCCCCCAAACATCAAGCTCTGGCTACGTGCCTGTTACCATGGCAACGTCTTATCCGGCATACACACATGTTGTTGTTGTTGCTTAAAGGAGCTTGGCGAAGAAATTTCACATAATCACTCAAAATGGGCAAATTATACATGTCCGGATAGCGTAGACCAATTTGAACACACAAATTCTGCTCTGAAGTCTTGTAAATATAAATGAAACGCGATAAGAAGCTTTTTCCAAGAACCTTCTCAGAACTTCTATTCATGGCTTGAAAATTTTGTTCACGCAGTAGGCCGATTATGACGTCACTGGTTGGGCAAGATCGCAGTTCTATAGGCCTCAAGCTCGCCTCTAGCTCGCACTGCTCGCGTGCGGTATTTTGCATATAGGCCTATACGTATACATTATCCAGACTTTGCATGCTTCATATCCTGACCAGAAAGTAGAATAACAATCTCTAGAAATCATGTAATTACATATAATATTAAGCAAATGTATGTAATATAATACGAGGGCTGAATCGTGCAATTCGATTTGTCGAAATACGCTTCCGTTCTGTGTAATTTGCTGAGATGTTTAGTTTGTTCAGTCATCATGCCTTGGCGTGATAGTGATTGCTGTTGATTATATACGGAGACCATGATGAGTGAATCGCGAGAGTCCCTTTGCATTTTTATGATGTCCTGCATGCAGCTGCAGTTCTATTCATGAATGGTGCATATTTGTAGTTGATTTTCGTCAAATATAATCTAACATCTAATCGTCTTTGTTTTGTTATCCGTGAAATTTGCCAAAAAGCCCTACGCATCCCGAAAAATTAGAAAATGTCTCGCCCAATCACCCCAGTGACAGGGATCACAGGGTGCCTGACAGATCGATCGCCAGTTGAGCGGGGCCGGGGGAGCTGAGCGGCAGCTGGCAGCTCATGCAGCCAGCTCGCGCTGATCACTTGACCTGCACCAGCATCTAAAGCTACGGTCACAAAGGTTATACGAACGATGCGTTCGTACGAATCACCCTGTTTTTCCATGGTCTTCCCGAATTGTCATGGTCTGAAAATCGTTCGTACGGCGTTCGTAGCAGTTCGTAATGGCATTTGTGACCGAGGCTTATGCCGTCTTCTTCGAATTGTTCTCTTTCTTCCTACATCCCCATCATCATCATCGTCATGGAATAAGTGATGACTCACTCCAGTGGATAATGTCTCTCCTCACTGATAGACAACAGGCAGTCGTATATAGTTGATAGATCCAAATCAACATGGAGGGATGTAACATCTGGAGTCCCCCAGGGATCCGTCATCGGCCCTACCCTCTTCCTGTTGTATCAACGATATCCAAGACAACATCCAGTCCACAATGCGCGTCTCTTCGCAGATGACAGCACCCTCTATCGTGAGATTCGATGCCCTGAGGACCATCAAATCCTAAAGGACGATCTCCAACAGCTGTCCAGGTGGTCTTCAAACTGGATGATGGACTTCAACGTGCAAAAGTGCGCTATCCTCACCATCACACGGAAGCGTACTCCCAGCATTCGAGAATACCACCTGTCAAATGGACTGATTCCGAGAGTGAAAGAGTACAAGTACCTTGGAGTAACGGTTGCTGCTGATCTCCGTTGGAACAAGCACTGCCAATCCATCTGGCATAAAACAAGCCGTACTGTAGGTCTTCTTCGCAGGACTCTCTTTCATCAGTGTGACGTCATAATAAGAGACTCTGTGCATGGACTGTCTACTTATCTTTCACCACTGCTGAGCTGAGTGTGACGTCACAATAGAAGACTCTGCTGATTGTCTACTTATCTAAGCGTCCACGTCGCAGGGCTGGAAACTGGACATCGTCCTGAGCTAATTCTGCCACCACCATCATCCATCCATCTCATCTACTCTTACCAGCAAGTAAATACTACCTAATAATGGCTCCCACTGATTGTCGCCGGAAGCATGCATCCTCTTCAGGACGGAAGGTAATTACAGTGATGTCCATCAACACTGAGGGGTTTTCAACAGCGAAACAACAACTCATTGGAAAGCTCTGCAAAGAGAACGACTGTGTAGCATTATGTCTACAAGAGACCCACAGAGGCCACCAACACATTCGACCGAGGATTCCTGGAATGAAGTTGGCTATAGAGAGACCACATGAGAAATATGGAAGTGCTATCTTTGTTAGGAAAGATGTGATCATCGATCAGACCTCACTGACTGAAGAGGATAACATAGAAGTCCTTGCTGTCAACATGGGGAAACTATCAGTCACTTCTGTTTATAAACCACCGGGATCTACATTTGCCTTTACTGAACCTCAATCTTTCGACTATGACCTTGTTAATGTTATTATTGGAGATTTTAACAGCCATAGCACCTCGTGGGGATACGAAGAAACAAATGAGGATGGTGACCTTGCTGAGGCCTGGGCAGAAGCACATCATCTTGACCTAATCCATGATGCTAAGCTCCCCCATTCCTTCAATAGCTGTCGATGGAAGAAAGGTTATAATCCAGACCTATCCTTTACAAGTGAACGAATATCATGCCAAACCAAGAAGAGAGTCCTAGAGCCAATACCACATTCACAACACAGACCAATAATCGTTGACATTACTGCTGCTGTGGTACCTCAGAGAGTTCCCCTACGACACCGTTTCAATTTCGTAAAGCTGACTGGGAGAAGTTCGCCATCGATCTAGATGAAGCTTTATCTGATCTTGACCCAGTCCCGGCAAACTACGACCAATTCGTCCGGACTGTACAGGAGATATCCAGGAAGCACATTCCACGTGGATGTAGGGAAAACTACATACCTGGATTATCAGCTGAAAGTGCCTTGATGTACAAGGAGTATATAAAACTCTACGAGGAAGACCCCTTTTCAGAGGAAACCTTGAGTGCAGGTGAGCTCCTCATGGCAGCAATATCAGAGGAACGGAGGAAGTCTTGGCAAGATCTCATTGAGGGTGTTGATATGACGCACAACAGTAAGAGAGCTTGGTCCACCATTAAGAAAATCAGTAACGATCCCAAGAAGTCTACACCCCATTCTAATTTTACTGCAGATCAGGTTGCCCACCAACTTCTCCTGAATGGCAAATCGGCACACAAGAAACGCCACAAAAGGAATCCTTGGCCACAGGTTGACACAGAATCTACCTGGTACTTTAACAACTTGGAACTCCAGACGGCTATCGACTCCCTTAAGAATGGCAAGGCAGCTGGTCTTGATGACATACGTACAGAACAGATCAAACATTTTGGGCACAATACAAAGGAGTGGCTGCTCTCTCTGTTCGACAACTGCGTAACCCTCTCCCAGCTTCCTAAAATCTGGCGGAAAGCCCGTGTGATTGCTATCCTCAAGCCAGGGAAAGACCCTAACGAAGCAAAGAGCTACAGACCAATCTCCCTGTTGTGCCACCTCTTCAAGCTCTTTGAGCGCCTCATCCTGAACAGACTGGGGCCAGTCACAGAACAACACCTGATACCAGAGCAAGCAGGTTTCCGGCCTGGAAGATCGTGCACTGGCCAAGTGCTAAATCTAACCCAGCACATCGAGGATGGTTTCGAGAAGAATGAACCGACTGGAGTTGTGTTCGTCGACCTGACAGCTGCCTACGACACTGTTAACCACCGTATACTTCTCGACAAGCTCTATACCATGACAAAGGACTCCCATCTGACTAAGCTTATACAAATGCTCCTGGAAAATAGACGCTTTTATGTTGAGCTCAACGGGAAGCGCAGCAGATGGAGGAAACAAAAGAATGGTCTACCTCAGGGCAGCGTACTTGCTCCTGTCCTATTTAATGTTTACACCAACGACCAGCCAGTGTACCCAGGGACAAGAAGCTTCATCTATGCTGATGACCTTGGCATAGCAGCCCAGAATTCCCACATAGACAAGATAGAAGCCACTCTTTCATCAGCCCTAGACAACCTGACAGACTACTACAACAACAACCATCTGAAGGCTAACCCTGCCAAGACCCAGGTTAGCTTGTTCCATCTCCGCAACTACAATGCTGGGAGGAAGCTGTCCCTGAAATGGAACGATGTCTCATTGAAACACTGCGATCACCCTGTCTACCTTGGAATCACTCTTGACCGAACCCTTTCATACAAACAGCATGTTCAAAAGGTGAAGGGTAAAGTTGGGACAAGGAACAACCTCCTACGGAAACTGGCAAACTCATCTTGGGGTGCCAATTCCTCCACGCTGAGATCAACTGCTCTTGCGTTGTGTTACTCTGCAGCAGAATATGCCTGCCCTGTATGGGGAAGATCATCCCATACAAAGAAAGTTGATGCAGCACTCAACGACAGCTGCAGATGCATCACTGGCTGCCTCAAGCCCACGAATGTGGACAGCTTGCACTCCCTGGCCGGCATTGCTCCATCCGATGTCCGCAGAACAGTTGCAAGTAGGACTGAACGCAGCAGACAAGTTGAGGACACCCGCCATCCCCTTTACTCGCATCAACCGGCCCCTACCCGCCTGAAGTCAAGGAAAAGCTTCCTTCATACAGTCCAGCCACTGTCACAACCTCCTCATTCAACCAGAGTGATCTTGTGGGAAGAGAAACGTCGTGAAAACCACCACCATGAAAAGCTACCAATCCCGACCGAGGAACAGCTGCCCCCTGGCCATAGATGTGATTGGAAGACGTGGAAGTCCCTCAATAGGCTTCGCACAGGGGTGGGGCGATGTAAATACAACATGAATAAATGGGGATATACTGACGACACAGACACCAACTGCGAGTGTGGAACATCCGTCCAATCCATGTCACACCTATTAAGATGTCCATTCCTAATTGACCAATGCTGCCTGGAAGACCTGGTGGCAGCAAATGAGAAGGCTCTTCAGTGTGCCAAGGCCTGGCAGAGCATTTGAGGTCACGAAAGAAGAATACAAAGTGTATATATCCTTTTCTTGAACATGATATTATTTATTTTTGGTGCTTGATAAATCTCTATAGATATTTATCACAACTATGAAGTTTTAGATGGTTACCATTTCGTGTTTTTTTCTTTTCTTTTTACTTTCTTCTTTCTTTCTTTTTTCTTCTTCAGTTTCATTTTTTTTTTTTTTTTTTTTTTTTTTTTAAATTCAGTTATGAGTTATGAGTTTTTGATCGATCGGGTGGGTGGTACATGCACAACATTACTTATTATAGGCTCTGTATAAGCTTGGCTTGTTAGAACTCTTGTGAGTAATGTGCCGCGGGATTCCATATCCTTAAACTGCTGGCGAACAGAGCAACAAGACCAAGCTCTGTAATTATTAGGATCTCTGTCCAGTAGTGCCGTGTTTGTGCCATCGAACTGGATCGACCAAATCAATTGATTCATAATGTATATGCAATATTTTTCCCGTAACATGAGAGTAATTTTAATAGTTTCATACTATTAATTAAATGTAATGTTAACTGTTATTGTATAATTGTTTTAAATGGGGGCACGCTACAAGAGTCCTATCTCGCACCCCGGGGCAACGTGTCTGACACGGCCGGTTGTAGCAACTACTCCGAAGATCAAGATTACTTTAATCTTGATCTAAGGAGACACGAACGAACGAACGCAGGACTCTCTCACCCTGTACCAGGGATGTAAAGTCCAGGGCCTACACAGCCTTAGTGCGCCCCCAATTGGAGTATGCCTCGGAGGCTTGGAACCCACACAGCGTCACGGTCACGAAAATGCTAGAGCAAGTACAAAGAACAGCGGCTCGCTTTGTGTACCGTGACTACAGATACACCACATCACCATCGATCAGCTCTTGTGGCAGCTCTAGGGTGGGACACGCTTCACACACGTCGAATCCTCGACCAATATGCACCCTTCTCTAATCTCTACAAGATCCATCACCGACTTGTCTCCATACCTGCACCAACTATTGTTATCCCTGCTACATACTTCGGAAGACATGACCACAACCTGAAGTATGTAATTCCTGTTGCAACTATCGACTCCTTCAAGTTCTCATACTACCCAAGACCAATAAGGATCTGGAACCATCTGCCAGGCTCAGCAGTCAATGCAAGAGGAATAACCAACTTCAAGGAGGCTGCTCTACCCTCCATCAGAATGATGCAGCCCCCTGTTGGTTCTCACATCGTATAAGCTTACTAGCTTGGTTTTTACTTGCACTGGACTTATATATATATATTTACATATTTTACTGTAAATTGACAAGTGCTTTGTCCACACACCATTCCAGCAATTCATGACACTCCTTGTAGTCACTCGCCTCACCTACCATCATGGGCGTAGCCACGGGGGGGGGGGGGCACGGGGGGGGGGGGGGGCACGTGCCCACCCTAAAATTTCCAGGATCGGTTGAAATTGTGTAGACCCCTTTTTTCGACCTCGATCGATTACATGTATGTGCCCCCTCCCCCAAATATCAAACTCTGGCTACGTACCTGCCTACCATCCCAGTATACACTGTAAAAAAATAATAGTCGAAATAACTCAATAAAATTGAGGAAAAGAATTGCCTTATTTTTATTAAGTAAATATTATCTACGGCATCTTAAGTAGAATTTACTTATTTTGCTGAATAAATTTTTACTCAGTTAAATCGAGTTACATTAACGTAAATAATTTAAGTATTGTAATCATTTTTAGATAATTAAAAAAAAGCTATGATAGGATTACATATTGCACGATTTGGTACCAATCTAATCTAACAAGTAACATCCACTAATCATTCACTACTTCTATTTAAGATTAATCACTAATCACTAACACTACTTCTATTTAAGATTTAACCGTATATATATATCTACCACCCACAAACTATTACATACGCTTCAATTCGACACATATTGAAAGGCTCCAAATTTTATATATACTTGATCGTAACATCTTAAAAGGAAAATTGGTCGACAATTTCCTGAAATATCAAGTTTTGATTTGTTTTGAACTGGGTAACAATTAAAAATTGTCTTGTCTTTGCTTATATAGCCATGTTAAATGAATTAGTAAATGTTTTAAAGTCCTTAAATTTTCATTCAACCACAAAAAAGAATTGTTTTATTTAAAAAAGAGTTTAATTTGGTCTTAATGAATATTCATAAATTATGTAAATATTTCTATTACGCACTGCATCGGTCCTTACTTTAAAAAGATAAGAATAATCAACATAAATTGTTTGAGTAATACGTATAATTTCTGATTTTGAGTTAAAATTACTAAATTAATACAAGCTGAAATTACTTAAAGTTCTTATGTATTTGATTTTACTTAAATGTTCCACGTAAATGTTCTACTAAATTGAAAGTTTGAGTTAGCAAGACTTAAATTTAGTGCGTAAGTGGCAAAACTAATGTTTTCAAGTAAATTCTACATGGAAAAAATACGTAAAAATTACCAATGAACAAATTCTTTTTTACAGTGTAGCTTCCTGAGTGAGCTGCCAAAGGGATTACCCAACCAAGTACCAAGTCACTATCACTATCACTACCAGTACCACTGTCACTAGTTGTGGAGCTGTGCTCATCAACTTCGAATTCTAAATCGAGTAAAACCTCTTCTTCGAGCTCGGACATTTTGATCAGATATTTAGCGTTCGAGTGGCGTTTGTATACGTATAATGCATGCAGGCTAGGCGAGAGTTGTGTGAGAGCTCGTGGGAGCCGACTCTCGAGCTCATGTGCCCAACCTCACACGTCACAAATCGTACGTCACAATAGCGGGCCGATCAAGGGCGGAATAATCGGGTAGTAATTTCACCACTTTTAATGGCAGATACGTCAATTCTATAACAATTTTTGAAAACTAAATATGAACCATTAGAAAGATTGTAACATTAACTTTGCAATGATAACAACATTATTAAGTTTAAAAGCCTTTTGAAACCCTCGCGCGGGGGGGGGGGGGGGGGTGGGGGGACATGGGTAGTGAGCATCATTTTTTGAAAAATCGCACCCCCCCCCCCCTTGAGCACGAAGGGAGGGGATCCATTTCCTTAAAAAGGTAAAATTAACGTGTTTTAATTTTTTTCCCCAGGGAAATGTGCCATTTGGTCGTGTTAACTGACCTGACGCGCCCTAACAATCCAACGCACCCTTTCGGCCAAACCGGGGGGGGGGGGGGGGGCTTTGGACGAATGGTCGCATTCAAGTCAACGCGCCGCGACACGACACTACCCACCCTTTCGGCATAAGCCCTTCAACAGAATGATGAAACGATCGAAATTATACAATCCTCTAATTCATTCCGATCAAATATCAAATAAAACAATAACAACCTAGTTTGTTGTTAACACAAAAGTGACATACATTTATTATCTTTGAATCCGTTCCCTCCTTCATATCATCATCTGTACATCATAATTGCAGTTGAATAAAGTAGCTTGATTAATCAGAAAACAAGATGCGACTCATTCAAATACTTGTAAACTGAAGGTCAACATATATCAAAGGATAAAACAGGCTACAGGAAGATAAAGTTCACAGTTCCCTACAAACAGGTATCTATTGATTAGAGTCTTTATTAAGTATCATGTTATAAGTTTCTCCCTCTCTTGAAAGGACCTGGATTTTACAACTTGTAACAATATTTGCCCACCTCTTTATTGTCATTACCCAATTTACTTTTTGAACTGAATCAGTATATTCTCTTCTTTCTCCACACATTTTCCTACAGATACATCAAATGCATTCCAATAGCTTACCAACTCATCAACTCTTGTCGCTAGTTATCCGTATCAAATTTCATGAAACTTAACTCTGGAGCTCAAATTCAAAATAAATTGATGGAAAATATATGTCCTGTACATTGCCTGTTTAGACCCAGAAGAGTTTTAACTCCCTTTAATTATATAAGTCAATGCCCTTCGGGCTCCAAACATACAATATCACGATGCACCTTGTCAGTAACACTCACAAGAGCTTTACAAATACATGTACATATGTGTTCCAATAAGTTCTGGAATTGAATGGCAAATCATGAACAATAAAATGACAATAGGATGTGCACAATTTGATTCTCAGTGACGGAAATAGCGAATTGGCTCATGCTTTCTGACTTGTGGATTTGATCTAAATCACTTTCCGCCTTGTGCTGTGTGTATTCATGCAGTAGCCTAGGCTTGAATGTTCCTTTTTTACTTGTTTTTTCTTGTTATATTCAAAACAATATGTGGCAAATTATAAACAAATCGTAATTCAGATACATTTTGTGAATTTTTATTTTCTGAAATAAAAAATGAGATATAATTTTTGACGATCAATTGGAAAATATAAATCTTTAAAAAAAAATGCAGTAACATACAGGTTGGACAAGCAATTTACATTGACTTTTTTAATTTGCACGTACGTGTACATAATTTCTGTCCTAAAAACATGCTCATATGCCGTTATTAATTTTTTAAAAACCCAACAGATTTACATTGAAATGAAGAACATTTACATATTATACAGATCTGTATATTACCACTGCTTTCAAAATGTATGGATAGAAGAGGGGGAAAAGGGAAGGAAGGATTTGGGGGAAGAATTGAATGATAACAGTCGACAAGATTGCAAACGATTCATGTTACACATTGTAATACTTATTTATGTTATACACTGTGAAGAAAAACATCTTCGTATGATATCTTAGCCCAAGTTTTGTCACGATACTCAAGAAGCTGTGTTTATAAACATGCCAAACCATTGTCAACTCTCTAAGATCCTAAAATAGCTCTGTGTAACTGCAGTGAGCACCTACATTACATGACTTGTGTATGTGGGTTTTTTTCTTCTTCAGGAATACACACTACGTGAAATGCATGAATGAAATTTTGTCTTCTCTGCACAGTAAAATGTTGAAGGACTTTTGGAGAAAAGAAGATTACAATACCATGTAGGGTTGAATTATGACAATTTTGAAAAAGGGGATTGGAATATATAAATAGATGTTGTCATTCTTTTGTTTTCTGTTTCCTGCAGTTCACAAATCCACCATGGTTATGTACATCCAGCTATACAGTGTGTCCTATTTCCCTCCAAAGACTCCGCCCACTTCATCGTCTTCTCGTACTCCCATGCTCTGTAGAGGGCGTAACAAACAAACACATCAGGCTTTAAATGAAATTTAAATGAATGAGATAATTATAGCATGGTAATTTTGAGGAATGAAAAATATTGACACTCTCATCTGTTTGGAGTCTGCCCCCTGAAAGTTGTCAACGGATTCACAAGAACAAAAGCCTATGAGACCAACTGCCCACCAGACCGACATCTTGCGAGCTGTCAGTCTCATGGCCTTTTGGTCAACTAGGATTTCCTGACTAGTGAGTGTGGAATAATAAAGACCCAAACTTTTATGAAGGGGGGGGGGGCATGTCAACGGCAATTCATTTCTTACGTTACCGACCAAAGCAAATGTTTTAGTGTCTCTCTTTCTTGCATCATTGACAACCCTACTATCGCTTGGATCAGAGGAAAAACCTCAAAGATTATGATACTTGTGATACATGTGAATCATGCACAGGTTTCTATGATTTTCGATAACTGTTGAGACACAAGAAGGCCAAATTCCTTGGACTTCCTATTAAAAAAAATAGTTATTTCCTATCTCACCTTTTGAACATATCGTGGATTAACAGCTATCTCTTGATCCATGCTCTTGAGCTTCTCATCCAGACTGATACAATGCTGCATCTGTGATGAAAAATTGGTAATTCAAAATCATAACATGACAGAATATGAAATGCATTATCATGGATTTGGAAAACCACTTTAATTCAAACTCCCTCATTGCTCAGATGAAAAAGGGGAAATAATATGAGTTTATGTTGTAACAGTACTTAAAATGAAATAAAGTGATTTTTTGTTAACTGATCTGTTGAAAATTTACAATTCTAAGAGCTGTCTAGACACAGAAATTTACATCTCTCGCAGTTACATGTATACTTTGTAATTCTTCATAAATAAAATTCATTTTTATACAAAATGTACTTGAATCAACACTCTTCATGCAAACTTATTAGTATTAATAGCCTTATCCTTGTAAAAGAAATAAGAAAATGCCTGCAGACCTTTCAGTCTTTATATTTCAAATACCATACAAATAATCTTCATGTGCCAGGCACCTTGAGTTTATAATGGAATATACCAAAGGCTTCAACATGATTTAACTGTTTCAAGTATAAGACCCGTCTATACCCATGTTAAAAGGGTTGCCATGGAGGTAATCAACACCCGAAATGGGTATTTTTGCAAAGCCATGCATTGTGTTGCACAAAACAATCCTTCCATCAACTGATGCATATTGTTTTACACAAGTGCAAAATTGCACTTGTGAAATATCAGTGATGCACAAAAAGCAAACATAGGAAAAGGCGCTATATCAAATATCTTTTGGATGGATGGATGGATGGATGGATAGTGATACAAATCTGATGAAGGATATGTGTGGTGGGGAAGATGAAATTTAAATGCTTTTACATGAGCATTCAACTAAAAAAAACAATTCCTTACCTCTTTACATCTGTGAGAATAAGAATGCATCTCATCTGTATACTCATCAAAATACCAACTTATACACTCACAAATTCAATGTGAAAAATTACAGGATTTGTTCTAAATTAAAAAGAAACAATATTATAAGGAGGACATTGCTCAACTTTAAGGCTACATCTATAAATGTTGCTTTCAGATAGGTGGAGAAAAAATGACTAACCTGTTGCTCGACATGTCTGAGTACTGCAGGGTTGTCATATTTTTCTGGGTTGTCATGGAAATGGACCATTCCATTCTGTTTGCTGATAGTTGCATGGATCTCACCATCTTCAATCTGAAATACATTAATCAAATTCTGTTTATTTTAATTCAAAGTACATACACATCTCTTTGTAACACCAATAATTTCAACCCCTAAATTACACTACCACTGTAAATTTACACTTCAATCTAACATCCAATTCGATCCCAATTATCAGCTTAAACTGAAATTCAAATTCTAGCTGTGATTGTTTTAAATCCATTTTTATCAAATGATCTTCCACTGTAAGTCTCCAGTCAGGTACATGTACATCTTTATCTATCTTCAATTGGATCCCTACACCAAGTTCCAATTCTAGAACGATGCTTATTACAAGTTGGTCCGTAACCACTCTACAAAACTTCTCAAATGATTTTTCATCAACAAACAAAATGAGAAGAAAAAATAAAGGAGAAACTTTAAAGCAGGACTGCACTACTTGTAGCTTCTTGCGCCCTCGTTATAGCAAACAGAGCCCAAGCGGTACCCGTTGGTCCCCCTGGATCTCTTTTTCTTATGTTAAGTGAGAGCTGATTTGATGAGATAACCACCTGTCATTGACCAGCAGGGAGGTCTAATCCCTCTTGGCCAAACTGCAGACAGGCTTTAAGACTTTTATTGATTGTTATTTAATATAGTTGTATAGGACTGCAAATCAAATATTTTTTCTCATGAGTGGTATACTGATCTAATTCTTTTAGAGGGGCAGAAGTACCCTTATAGGCCCCATCTTCATTTCATCACTCTGTACCCTTTTAAAATTTATCCCACATAAATTTCGCTTTCTCACCATATTTCTGACATACTGCTCAGCCTCTTGCGGTGCATGTAGATGAACTCTCCTGGCGATGTCACTCGGAGATAACGTTAGAAAGGTCTGAAGAGAGAGATCAAAACTGTCAATGAATATCCCCTACTGTATACAACTCAATCTTCACATCTATTTCACTAGTATGTCGCCCTCTGACAATTGACCTCAACTACATTGTGCGCCTTAATTAGACCTTCTTATGGCTACAAAGTTCACAAATATCTATCGTGCATACATGTACATGGTTAAGATTTTGTGAAACAATTGCTGAAATTATGATTCTTTTCTTTCAAGTGTAATCTCAAAATTAAAGAAGGCAAGTTTTCATGATTACAAAATTATTGATATTGAATCTTGAAAGTACACAGAAGGAATTCAGGTTAAAAGAAGTGCGTTTTTCACCACAGACTTATTGATACACTACACATGATTCATAGGGCCTGACTGCGCTGTAAATCTGCTTTTTACAACAAAGAAGGTGTGGAAGGGAGGGATTGGATTACAATCTGACCATCTGGATGTACAAGGCCATATGATCCAATGAGGGGAGAGAAAGATAGATAGAGAGAGAGATAGAGTGAGAGAGTGTGTGTTTGTGTGTGTTTGTTTGTGTGTGGAAGTGGAGGTGGCCGTACTATTTTCTTTTCATGTTGCCTTTGCCTTTCTTTCTCTAGTTTTTCTCTTTTATTTATTTTTTTCTTCATTTTTCCCTGCCTTGTCATTTAGCATGGGAGTTAGCACATATAAACTTCCTCAATACAAAAATAAAAGGGAGCTTTTTTGCCTTCATTCAGATTTTCATATACGATAAAGAGGAACATAATTGTTCTTTCAGTATAAACATACTTTAGGCTATTCAAAAGCTTTCAATAATTTCACTTTCCATTTCAAGATGCTGGCAGATGAATGAGAAGGACAAAAAGATTTTTAAAAACAAACAACAAACAACAAACATTTCAGGAATCTACCAATCAATTATAAATCCACAACTGAAAAAACAAAAACAAACAAAGTCATTGCTTACTTTTGTAAATGGTTGTGGGCCCAACGGAAGGAGGTAAACATAGGTTTGGTTTACTTAAATTTATCGTTTTGTTTTGTTCTGTCAGTATGGATAAAGCCGTATATTACTTTACTTTATAACTTTGTTATATTGCAATACAAAAAGGTATAAAGTAATTTAAATGTATTACTGTTTGGAAGACAGAAGGTTGTTGTTACTATTTAAAGGCATAATTTAACACCCTTCTAGCTCCAAACAGATGATATAAGGCATATCAGTCAACATAACAGTCTTAGTACTTTGTTATTGACAAAGATGAAAAATCATAGGTTGCTGGGAACAATTGAAACGGATTACGCATTGTTTACTCAAGAAGATTATACTTTTATTACTGTGACTCAACATGCTTCTGGATGACCCTTCAGATTTTTATGAGCCATAAATATTTGAATGTGCTCCTCTAGGGAAATGAGATTTTTATAAAACTAGCCTGCTTAATGATACAACATTTTTTTTATCATAAGCTATAAAGCCATATGACCTGCTACGCCTACTTGAAATCAAAAATTTCTACCTCTGATGAAATTTAGGGTACTTTTGGTATTAAAAGGTCCTTTTCTTTTTGCCACATTATATCTTATTGAGCCTTTCAAGGAATGTCACTTACTCTATTGAGCTGATCAGAATGTTTTTCTAACACACTGCTCACATCAGATGGGTTGTTGGTGGAGTAAGAGTTGGCAATCTCTTGGTACAGCTGGCTCAAAGGCTGAAAAAAGGGTAAAATATACATGTACATGTCAGACAACAGGATATAGTTCAGAAGATGTGCACAATGAAGTTCAACTGATCGCTGACCAATCCCATCTGACCCCCAAAAAGGCTTTCCTCAAGTGGTTTTATACAAATGATAACATTTCATCTTAAAGCTGAAAACAATCTTATTCTGAAATGTATTACAAAGATATGAACATACCTTTCACTAATTCAATAACTATTTACATGAAAAACATCTTCAACAACGGTATTTTGTATTTCATAAATGCTTCATAAATCAAGATTTATTATCATCAACTTCCTTCTTCATCAGCGCTCAACTATCTCTTTAATCATGTATCCTGCTTTAAACAAAACATGCAAACGGTGACTTTTAAACTCCACTTCTGACACTGAATTTCAATATTTTTAATTTAAACAATGCAATTTGCAACATTTCGCTTTTGAATTGGCCCAATGTTTAGGTGAACTGCACATTCCATGATTACATAACCAATTCAAATGGGGCGTTATTGTAAAGAGGAAAATAAAGATTTACAATGATGCAAAATTCAAGCATGAACTTGAATTGCAGAATTTTTTGTTAGAAAAGTTTATCTTTATTTGTCTTTAATATGGTTATAGACATAAGCTGATTGATTGTGAAAGGGCTGTAACTGTTACATATGGAAATCATGGATATCAAGAAACCAAGGCTCAGCAGAATTACAGCTAGTACAGTCGACCTCAAACCACTTCTTGAAAAGTGAATTTATAGTAGAAAAATGTGGTGAAAACCTTCATGCATGCACGTACTTGATCACCTACATGTACTTTTCAGTATCTACAGTGTACATGTAATATGTAATTATTTAAAATAGAACTCTGACCTCAAGTCCTCAACATATTTTTTTGTTTATTCAAACTAGATTTTACATACTATTATCCCTTTTTTTTCCAAAAGGAAAATACTTATTCTACATTAGTGCATACATGCAATAACATGTTTAAAGGCTAAGTCCACTCCAAAAACATTTTGTTTTTAATGGATGCAGAAAAACAAGAGATACAGAGCAAACTAAATTTTAGTAAAATCGGATAACTATTAAGGAAGTTATGAATGTTTGTAAAAGTATGAAAAACCATGGAACTTAGAAAACCACTACACAAATTGCTTTATATATTTATCCCATCCACTTCCCTTTCTATTCCCCAAAAGGGATTTGCCAATCATTTCCTGAAAATATATTTTTCATTATCATTGATGTTTTATTGGTTGTCTAGTTTTCATCAAACTCCTTTTTCAATTTTTGTTACAGTTTAACTGCCATAATATCTAAACAAATAAAATCATCTCTGAAATTTATGCTTTATGTTATCTTTCTTCAGGTTTAATACATGTACCAGTAGTTACATTTATTCTCTCTGAAAGACTGTACTAGTTATCATCTGTTCAATCCTATTGACACCTGATGCTACATTAGGTTGTTTTGTCCTACAAACATTAACAAAGCCTTGATCGTATTAAAGCCATGAACATGTACATGAACAAGGGTTCAATATCCATGTTTACATATTATCTTGATACAGGTAATTTATTTCAAGTTCACGACAAAGGAGAATCAGTTCACTAGAGAGGGGCGGGGGAATTCGCACAATTAGATATGAAATGATTGTAGATCCTTCGTGTATAAGCAGCATACTCTTCAGCTATATTTACCCCCGCTATGAAGATGGTTCAACCCTCCTGCATAAATAATGTAGAGGTATCAATCATTAATCTCATGTCCTATCGACCAATCACACATGTACATTCGACAAAACTGACCCAATTGTATTTTCCATGTTTTGGTCCCCTCTCAAGGTAACAAATCTGGATAAATGTACCAGTACACTTATAATTTTATTATGCACATGGAACTGCACTAAAATTTGGATCACAGAATGAATTGTTTGGATGGTAGAGTGACAACCTTTCAAGTATACAGGTACATTTCATATTTATTCTTATTTTATAACAATCATTTGTTAAATATAAAACTGATATACATGTACATGTGTGGTACTGTTTGCTCGTGTACGAACTAAAACAAAGAATAGTTTAATGATGCTTACATGAATATTGTAACGCTTCTGCACAGATTATGGTTTACAAAGATTGACTCCATTTTCTTCTCCTAAATATGAAATCTCAGTCTTTATAATGAAACAAAATAGATTTTAAATGTTATATCATGATATATTAGAGATATATTATACATGCTTCAAAACTGATTTATTATAGGTTCGCAGCTCAAGAATCAACTAGAAGCATAAAACCAAAGTACGGATGAATTTTACTGTGAATTCAGAGAAAAGCATCTCATTCAACCATCAAGTCAAGGTGATTTCACACTAAACTAAGGACGTTGTACAATAAGAAACAACGTTGGTAAGCCGAATGGACTGTATTTTGATACAAGTGCATAAGCATGTGGCCAGAGCTAGTGCCACTTAGCATTGAAGACACCCTATGTGGAAAAGTATGCATAGACAGCATAGGAGATGTCATGGTACATGTTTAACTTTGAACATACAGTCAAGCAGAAAAGAAAGGGGAACTTTCTCAGCGAAGTGATATTCTGAAGGTGTTTTCATAGATGCTTGCATGTTTGAAAGTCAATAAACAGTGACAATACTTTTAATTGGACCTGACCCATTTCCAGCATCTTGCCAGACAGTTTTGGACATTTATTGAAATCTTTGCCAGGAAATACAGAAACCAATCTTTAGGAATTGAGATCAGGTGATCTTCCTTTGATACAGTTACCTCTTAATTTCTCAAATCTGTACAAAATATTTTTTTTATTCTAGTCTTTGAAAGGAATAAGTCAAAATGAGTTTTCCAGTCCTCTTTATATTCATCGCCTTTGCCATGTGTAACGTGTGTAAATCTGAAGATGAAAGAAAGACTGTTATAGAAGGGGCTAGTGTACATCTTCATTATCCATATCCATGTAACAGTACAAGAGTTACATTACAGTATGGAAACAGAGTGCCTTTTTACACATTAGCAGATACAGAATCTATCGTTTTACCACCTGAACAAGAACACAGATTCACTTTCAAGAAGAAAGGTCAACAAGATCTTTGTTCGCTACATGTTAGAATCGACCCTGTATTAAGAAATGATGCAGGAACATACATTTCCTTTACCTACAGTGAGGATGGTATATATTTTGAAAGTTTCTTTAAAAGAATCGGATTACATGTTGATATTCCGCCTGGAAAGGCATCATGTACACTGAATGAAGAGAGCACAGTTGG